AAAAAAAAAAAAAAAAAAAAAAAAGGAGAGGTTAATAACATTGTGTTTAATGTACATCAGAATTATTTAATTTTAATTTGGGTTTCAAACGGGATTGCCCCCCCGCCCCCGGCCTAAAGGCATTGGCTTTCTTTTACATGAAAAAAAATTTTTTTTTTGTAGTTGTAGATGGACAGAATGCCTTTATTTCATTTATTTTTATGTGGTGCTAAGTATCGAACCAAGTGCCTCATGCATGCTAGGCAAGCGATCTGCCACTGAGATACAACCCTAGCCCTTGATCTATCCCTTTTTCTGCTGATGCTTTTATTTCCCCTCTATAGACCTTCATCTGCCTCCTCTGGACAGGGGATTTTGTCTTTCAAACCATATCTAAATGGAGATTCAGGCCACACAAGAGTCCTCACCCCTAACAATTCTGGTAAGTTAAACATTCCCAAAGGAGTGGAGTTTCAACCATTGACACATATACTAAAATGAAGATTTTCCAAGATAACAAGAAATTGAGTTCCATTCCCCAAAGAGCATTGTTTCCAGTTGACTCTAATATGTATAGTTAAGAGTCATTCTAATTCCTATACAATGAATGAATTTTGCCTAAATAGTCCTCACCATGTTACCAGTTGAATCCTACTGTTTAGCCTGGTTGGTCTATAGTATCAAACTGGCTTTTTTGTTATCTTGAACATGCTAACAACTCAATTCTGAGAATTATAACACCAACATGCTTTCTTCTCCCTGTGCTTTTCAGTAAAAGTACTCTACCACCAGCCAGCCCTTTTGATGCCAGTCCATCTTCCATAGTTTGCCTAAATCTTTTCAGTGCCTATCTTTCTACTTACAGTTAAACTCAAACCTCAGGGGGCTGGGGTTGTAGCTCAGTGGTAGAGCACTTGCCTCGCATGTGTAAGGCACTGGGTTCAATCTTCAGCACCACATAAAAATAAATACAAAATAAAGATATATTAAAAAAATTTGGGGCTTAAATTTGAGAAGTTTTTTAAAAAATTAAAAAATAAACTCAAATCTCAGATGGCTCTGTCAGTACCCCATCTTCACAGGAAAAGAATGGATTTTGTAACCTACTATTTTTTTTTCCCCTTTAGTACTGGGTATTGAACCTGGGGGCTTTATCACCAAGTTACATCCCTAGCCCCCCATTTTTTTTTCTCCCTTTAATTTTTTATTTTGAGACAGGGTCTCACTAAGTTGCTTAGGGCCTCATTGAGTTGCTGAGGTTGGCCTCAAACTTGCAATCCTTCTGTCTCAGTTCCCAGGTTGCTTGGATTATAGGTGTGTGCCTCCATGCCTGGCTGCAACCTACTTCTTAAATTATGTAGCTAATACTTTTTTCCCTTCTGTGTTCCTTTATTAAGAGCTACCAAGATACTTGATCCACAAGTAAAAGTAACTGCTGAGGAACTGCCCAAGTAAGTTGTCTTTCACCATTCCATCCTATCCTTCAGGTCAGAGGGAAAGCAGAACCACACTAGAGAGTCTTCCAGGTTTCCAGCTACCAGTCCTTCAGGTAAGCCTGGCTAGTACAACTTGTTTGTGCATAAAAATTCATATGGTTAGGCCTACACACTAACAACCTCATTCTTGTCTCAGGTTAGAGTAGTACAATGTAACCAGTGGAGAATGACATGGGTTTCAACTGATAAACATCTGTTAACAATTTTCCAGGATAGTCTCAACTTCAAAGGTTCTATCCTATTATGAGATTAGCTTCCTGGTTTGAGTTATTTAATTAAGTCACATAATAGTGAGTATTGAGAAGATTTACTAAGAGGTTTTGGACAGAAAGGACACATTGACATTCCCAGTAGTTCCACAAGAGAATATTTTCAGTGAAATGTGTCTTTCAGGTGAAGGTACTGTTGAACTGGGAAAAACCACATTTATTTCTCCAGAGATAGGTAGAATAATGCCTTGTAAATTTATGGGACTGATTCTGATTCAAGCAGCAAAAGGAAATGGGCAGAGTAATGAGAAGTTTGTAAGGGCTCTATTAAATGAAAAGTCCAGTCTTGACTTTTAAGTGGATTTTTATAGCTTGGGGTTTAAGGGTATTTAGGTCCTTTTCCACTCCAAGCTCCCAGTGACCCCAGGGAAAACTTCTGCATCTAAGTCTGGTATATATTTTGTTCCTACAATCTAAAATGCCCTTTATTTCATCAGCAAGAAATTAGGATCTAAGCCTGAAGAGGCAACACTGGGGAAATAATATCCCTCTCTAAGATCCTCACAAATGGAGGGATTAACCTACAAATGGAAAATGACTTAAGAGACCTATAAAACAACTATAAATATATGGTCCTAAATTGGATCTCTATTGAAATAAGCTATTTAAAAAAATTTTATGAGACAGTTGAGGAAAACTAAATATTATTAGAAATTTGAAACCTACTATTTTTTTTTTCCTTTAGTACTGGGGATTGAACCTGGGGGCTTTATCACCAAGTTACATCCCTAGCCCCCAAACTCTAAAATGTCATTCTACTTTTTTAAAGGATATCCTCTCCTAATTTTCACCTCCAATAAATATCCAGACTAAATAAATATTCACTACCTATTATTAAAACTGTTTTACAAACTCTGTGGGAAAGATTTACCCTGAGACAAATAGTTAATAGAGAGGGGATTTTGTAAAGATAAAAAGGTAGAAGACAAAATGGACCCAGTATCAAAATTAAACAATTTTTAGCATTGGGTATTTTTAAAAATATGACATTGTTATTGTTTTTATTTTATGTAGATACATATAAAATTTTGTATGGTGGGAAGTTATATGATGTCTGGATTTTGTTTTAATGTAATTTAGTAGAACAGGCAGTGGAAGAGAAATAAAAGATTGACAATGAATTACTTATTGAAGTTGGGGCTTCTTTGTTTTGTTTTTTAATTTTGAGACAGGGTCTAAGCTGCTTAGGGCCTCTATAAATTGTTAAGGATGCTTTCAAACTTGTAATACTTCTGCTTCAGCCTCCCAAGTTGCTAGGATTTCAGGTGTATACCTGGCCTAATCTACTTAAAAACTTGAAAAAGTTTTTAAAAATAGTTTTTGGGGCTGGGGTTGTAGCTCAGTGATAGAGTGCTCACCTAGCACGGGCGAGGCCCTGGGTTCCATCCAACGAAGAGTAAAAAATAAATATTAAAAAAAAAGTTTTTGAAGAAAGTGCATCCTCCCAGAGGCATAAGAATTCTACCTTCTTGCTGGGTGTGATGATGCATCCCTGTAATCCCAGCAATTCAGAAAGCTGAGGCAGAATAGCAAGTACAAGGCTAGCTTCAGCAATTTAGTGAGACCCTATCTCAAAATAAAAAAACAGGCTAGGGATGTAGGGAGGTGGCTCAGTGGTAAAGGGCCTCTGGGTTCAATCCGCAATACCAAAAAAAAAAAAAAAAAAAATCTACCCTCTTGGTAAACATCTTTGGGTATGGTAGTCATATGTTCCAGATCTTCCAAAATAGTTTGATTTTCAAATATTTGTCATTAGTATAAACCATTGAAATACTCAAAGAGACCTTGTCACACAAAATGTACAAACCTGTTTGGAAAGCTTAATCTTTATGCAATGGGGAAAAGTCATGGGGGAAGCAACAGGGGTGGTTTATGTCCCAATAAACTTCATGTTTTCAACTTCATGCTTAACAGGGTCTTATTACCCTTTTCTGTTGTTTATAAACACTCAAATCTGCCTTCTTGTTCTTTGCTGCAGACACTCTACCAACAGAGGCAGATGGGATTAGCCAGGGAGAGAGAAGAATGGACCACTTCCAGATAAGCCATCATCAAGGTCTGATCTATACATATTGCTGAAGGATGGACTGTAGTATCCAGTACTCATTAGCAGAGATGACCTTGGAAATGTGCCCCTGTTTTGTTTCCTGGTTTCATTCTGTACCTTATTTCCTTTTGATCTTTATACTTGATATTACCTCTCAGGAAAGTGGTCAGGTCTAAATAAGACTAATGATGTTTCTCCCCGAGAAAGTACATTACTCCTTTCATTTCCTAACAATTTGAAACTAAGGGGGCTAGGGATGTGGCTCAAGTGGTAGTGCGCTCGCCTGACATGCATGCGGCCCGGGTTCTATCCTCAGCACCACATACAAACAAACATGTTGAGTCCGCCGAAAACTAAAAAAATAATATTAAAAAATTCTCTCTCTCTTAAAAAAAAAAAAAACCAATTTGAAACTAAGGCTATAAAATTAATTTTTGGCATCATGCTTGGAAGTGAGGAGACTGGATAATATATTCATCAACTTGTTTCATTTCTGGATTTCATTTTTTAGCTTTGGGTATATTTTACCATGCCCATGTTATCAAGTACCAACTCTTGTTCTTACCCTATTATGCTTTTCCTATTTTTTGTTTCTCTACACCTATTTACTATTAAATATGTTGATTTTCCTTTGTTAAAATAATTGGAGAAACAGATATACAGCTTATTGGAAGATATAGATAATTAAGTAGATGCTCTTTTATGGCTGTTGCAACTCATTATGTTCTGGAATTAACTCCAAACCTGTTGAATCTGTCACTGCTGAGACCTCAGAAATTTTAATCATTATCATCTGACCACTGGAAAACATGTGTGGTGACAGATTCCAACCTACTGCCTTTTAGTTTTTGTTCTTTTAGTTTACCTCAAGTCCTGCCCCTTCAAATAATAAAATGTATACTAAACCTGAACTCTTTTAAAAGCAATGCTGGGGATCAAACTCAGGGCTTCACACATGGTAGGAAAGTGCTCTACTACTTGAACCACACTCCCAGCCCCTAAATCAGAAATGTTAATGGACTTGGCTCCATTAATCTCTAAACCATAAGCATGGTAAAGTGGAGAAAAGAGAAACAATTTTATTTTTGGCTTTTTTATTATTATTCTAGCAATTTGGGGCTTCCACTCTTATTTTCAGATAGTTAACCCATTGATATCTTTTTGCTTTGTATATGATCCCAACTGAAGAAAATCATTCCAAAACATCAATAATTAATTCAGTTAAGAGAGGGAAAATTCTCTTTGGATGCAAACTGAGCCAAGGAGGTTGTGGTGGGGGCTGGAAAGAAGAAAAATCAGTCTTTGTCAAACTAGACAGGAGCTTGTGTCAAGTTTGTAAAACCAAACCTGGAACTTCCTACCATCCTTCCTTTGAACAGGAGAAATCATCCCCTCTTCTCCATCACTCTATAATGTAATTCTACTTTTTTAAAGGATATCTTCTCCTAATTCTCACCTCCAATAAATATCCAGACTAAATATTCACTACCTATTATTAAAACTTTTTTACAAACTCTGTGGGAAAGATTTACCCTGAGACAAATAGTTAATAGAGAGGGGATTTTGTAAAGATAAAATGGTAGAAGACAAAGCTGTCCCAGTATAAAAAATGAGAACATTTTTACCACCAGTGATTCGGTGATGAAGCAGGTAAAACACACAGCCATCAAATTGATATAAGAAGAGAGAGTATTTCTGACAAGGCCTGGTACCTATTGAGAATCTTAGCTGCATTATACAGAATTTGTGCTCAGAGAGGAAGGAAACAGTACAAGACAGCCTTATATTCCAGGGAAAATGGTGGGATTGGTGATTCATTAGAATTATTATTTAAGTCAGAATTCTTTACCCCTTCTTTCCAGGCCTCCTATATATGTGCAGCTGAGGTCTATTTTCTGTAGTACATTAAGGGGAAAGAATAGCCTATACAAGAACAGGAGACATTTCCTCACCCAGGTTCTTGGCCTCCTCTACATGTGGCTAGAGTACTGGATTATTTGCTGATCCAATCCCTGATTTTGTGTACTATGATCATCCTCCCTGGTCCACCCTCAACTTACTACAACCCCATCACCCACCCTGAAGAATACAAAAGCTTTTAAATTCTTTGCCACAAGGTAATTTAAAAAAATGTAGTTTCTTTGTTTAAAGTTACTAAAATTTGGTTCATCTTTTAGTAACAGATCTTTTCCTTCCCAAAATCCCTCCCTCGCTCAGTCCTGTATGATCACATAATCCTCCTCCTCCTCATCTTCTTCCTCTTCCTCTTCCTCCTCATCCTCCGGCAGTTCCTCTTCTTCCTCTTCCTCTTCCTCATCTAGACAAACTACCACCTCAGCTGGCTCAGGTAATCGAGAGTCAAACCAATCCAGTACCTGCTGGGTGCTAAGTCTTGATGCCTGACTCAGCTGAGGGATATCAATTTCCCGTAGCTGTTGGTGGGCTGCCCAATACTTCTCCAAAGGTCGTATATCCGGTGGGGGCGGGGGAATTGGTAGAGGTGGTGTCTCAGCCCATTCTTTCAAAGAGCGGGTTGACGGTGGTGTAAGAATCGCTGGGTCTTGAAAACTAGGGGCACCAGGTACTGCATTGTCCCGAAACCATTTTAGTTGCCCATGCTTCAAAGCATAGCGTGTGTCACCAAACCACTGAATGATCTCAGGCCGAGGTAAACCAGTGATCTGTTCCAATTTATGGTAATCCTCACGCCGTGCCCATTGGCACTGTAGAAAAAAGGATTTGAGAATAGCCAGCTGCTCTTTGGTTTTACGCTTAGCCTTTCGTTGGCGTTGCATATCTGGGGAAAGGTAGTCTGTGGAGCCAACCCTACCTGGTACTGAGTTATGCCGTAGCCCTTGAGGCCAGGCTGGCTCCAGATGTGGGGGTAGTGCCTGTTCCTTGGGTGAGAGTGACTGTGGGATATAGCCTACTGACTGGAGGGGTTTAGAGGTGGCAGTAGCTCCATTAGCTAGTACCCGGAAAGAAGAGGAGGTAGAGGAGGATGAAGGAGTCATACTAGGTGCTGACTCCTCCTTACAACTACTGGCAAGTAATGAGATTGATGGGGGCTTATCCAGAGCACGTGACTGGTGGACAGCTATGGAGTGGTTCCAGGAAGAAGTACCTACACCATGTGAGTGGTCAGGACCACTGCCTGCTAGTTCCTTAGAGAGGCCACTACTTTGAAGATCCTGCCAAAAATCTGATTGGGAGAATGTTCCACTGCCAGGTGTCAAAAGGGACTCCTTTGCTTTCTGGTGACTCAGTGGCAGTGTTGATATATGAGAGAACTCCTCAGGTTCTACCTTCAATCCTTTTATCTGGGGGGGCTCTCTAAAAGTCAGAGGGCCTATTCCAAAACCAACTTGTTCTGAAGGTGGCACTGGAGAAGGTGGCACCTCCTCTGGTGGCCGCCCTGCATGATGAGTAAAAGAGAGAAGGGATTTGAAGTGGAGTTGGTCCCGATGGTATACCACTCGTGCTCGAGTCTCTTCTATTTCTTCAGATGACCAGCTAATGCCACAGCGGAGGCGCTGGGCCATGAACCAAGTCTTGACTTTCTCCATCTGTAGCCCATAACGTAGGCAGAGAAGGGCAATGTCTGCTAGGCTGGGATAGGGAAAGTAGCTGAAGGTTTGTAGCAGGTGTTCATTGCTGTCTAGCTCACTGGTCTGGGCTGCTTGGGTCCACACAAGCTGTAGCTCCTCAGAAATTGGAGGAAGGCAGATGAGCCCTGCTGGTGAGCTAGTAACACTGCTGGCCTCTTTATTAGGAGGCATGGTGCGGTCTGATTTGTGCCCTTCAGAGACAGCTGTAATAAGAAGAGAAACAGCTCAATCACTGAGGCTCCTCTTTTGGCACATCACTCAATTTCTACCAAAAATTGTTGGATACCAAACAACTAACTTTCTATCTGCATCATGTTGTATTGCTTTTAAAGTGTTTCAACAATTTCTCGTTAATTTTCAGAACCTTGTGGAGTCAGAGAGCTGTTACAATTCCCATTTTTTTAAAGCCCATAGAATTTAAATTATACCAAGTCACATGACTAGTAAGTGTTGTCACCAAGACAGAAAATCATCTATAGAGGTTCAAAAGGAAGAGCTTTTTTTTTTTTTTTTTTTTTGGTGCTGGAGATTGAACCCAGGGGTGCTTAACCACACTAAACCACACCTCAGCCCTTCATATTTTTTGAGATAGTCTTACTAAGTTGCTTAGGGTCTTGCTAAATTGCTGAGTCTGGCCTGGAACTTGTTATCCTCCAGAATTGCTGGGGTTACAGGTGTGTACCACCAATGCCCCGTGGAAAGGCTAAAAGTTATTCTTATAAAGCTTTTATCTTTCCAATTCAACTTTGCTTCTGGAAGCTATTCCCCCATCTCTCACCTTCTAAATTCATGGAACAGGTATCACAAAAGGAGACTCAAAAACAAAAGGAACTATTACTCTCCACCTCCTAACAATTTATGATTACCTCTTGAATGTAGAGATAGGTTGGGAAAATAACTGATGACTATCTGTAAGGTATAACAGCATTGTCCTCTGCCCAGCCCCCAGCCATTTCTTTTTCTTTCCCTTCTGGGAGGTGTAGTACCTTCAAGCCCTACACTCAAACCAGAAACCTTTATTATTATTTTCCATCTCAAGTAGGATGATAATATAGAGATCTAGGATAAATGGGGCTCCCTCACCCTGGGTTTAGGTCTTGTGGAAAAGGGAATGTTTCCTTCCCCCAAACAGCCTCTTAACAAAGGTTATCCCCTCCCCCAGCCTTTATCTCTTCCTACAGCTCAGCCTCTCTCCAGGGAGCCTGGAGAACTCCTTCCCATACTGGCAACCCCCTCCAGGTTGGGCAAAAGGCCACCTGCTGTATCTTTTCAGTTCAGCTTTCTCCTCAATATCTTGTGGACAGGTTCATTATAAATTGTAGCCAGCTCTTACAAAAGATACCCAGCAGAAGCACTGCTCCCAGGGTTAAGGATGTGGGGACTACAGGGATAGCCCCAACTGTGTTTCATTCCTGAAATACCTGCTCAGGTTATTTCCCAGAAAGTTCTGTTGACAATTTTAATTCATTTCCCTATGTGGAGTGAGAGATCCTGTAACACATCACCCTTTCCTCTTAGGAGAATCCCATCTGTATTTATAAATATTACTACTAATCTGTTAGATTTCTACGTAAATGTTACATGATGAACTGAGAAAATAAATATCAAGTCCAAAAGTTACAACAATGTAATATCAGGGATTTTATTTATTATTACTATTATTTTTGAGGTGCTGGGAATTGAACCCAGAGCTCTTGTGTGTGCTGGGCAAGTGCTCTACCACCAAGCGACACCCCCAGGCCCATGGACTTTAAAATTGAAAAAAATTCAGAAGCATTTTTGCACTTGAGGCCATTCCCTTTAATAATTAAATCTAGCAAATCGAATGCCATGCAAATTTTAAAAGCAGTACAGCTTTAATAGTACCTTAGGGGGTTAAATGGTGACAGTGTGACATGGTAGGTAAAAACATGAAATCCATTTTGGGGAGAGGGGTTAGGGGTATTGGGAATTGAGCCCAGGCCCTTATGCATGCTAATTATGTGCTCTACCACTGAGCTACACCCTAAGCCCAAGAAAAATGAACTGAGTTTAAATCCCAGTTCTACCACTTTTTCTCTATGTAGAATGAGTTTCTACAATTTCTAAAATTTTAGCTATATGAAATTGATAAAATTTCATATAGCTAAAATTGATGAAATTGATAAAACTATACTGAAATTGTGAGCCTCGGTTTCCTCATATAAAAAAGGAAAACAATGCTGAATATATGTGAACAGTTAGATATTTTTACCAAGCACCTACTATTGCTAGGCATTATGAATAGAAAGGGGTTAGAGTAACTGTGAAGACCTGGAGGACTGAGGTGTGGCAGTTTTGAGGTTAATTGCCAGCTTCATTACTTCTAGAATGTTGTTTGTCCTTAGGCAAATTATTTAACCACTCTATAAGCCTTATTTTCTCATCAGAAAAAAAGTTATCTACCTGGAAAGTTTTTGACTAAATTAAAAAAAAAAAATGCCCTTGACATTATGCCTAGAACAAAGTAAAGGCCCAATACAGTTGAGCTTTTTAAAATTACTTCAGCTTCATGGGTGACTCTGATATAAATTAATGCTCCCCTTGGGAAAATGGGGCAAAGACTGTATTCTTTAAAATCATGGTTTTTCAGTCTGACTGCAGAATCCAAATTCTAGCTAACAGTGGAGGAAACTACAATTTTAATGATTTTTTTCTTTTTGCAGTCTGAGGATCGAACCTAGGGCCTTAACAGATAGGCAAGCAAGCACTGTATGTATGAAAAATCACAGTTTTGGGGAGAATTGCTTCCAAAATTTGAATCCATTTTGAATGCCATATGAATTGCTCCACCTTTCCCCTTCTAGTTTCATCCTAGACACTGCTTTATGGCCAGGGGTCAACTGCTATTTAGAATTGTGTCCCCCTCCCCCAGAAACACCATCAAATCCAAGCTGGAGAATACTTTATGATGGCAATACTTGACATCTTCTTAACCTCTTTTTTGTCCTTTTCCATCAGGACACCCAATTCACACTTTAAATATGATAAAAAATAGCATAAGTCCTAGGAATAAAGCAGTTTAGTCCTTTGTGAGGATGAGAACTGACATGAGAATATGAGACAGTCACAGCTATAATCCTACAAGGAAGCATTTTGCTTTTTTTTTAGTTGTTGATAGGCCTTTATTTGCTTATTTATATGTGGTGCTGGGAATCGAACCCAGTGCCTCACATGTATAAGGCAAATGCTCTACCTCTGAGCTATAACTCCAGCCCCTGCATTTTGCTTTTATTCATGTGGTTTGAATACTTCAGATTCTCATAGCATCAGCTTGATATTTAATGTAACATGCACTCATACAAATAACACATACATCCAGTTTTCATTTACATAAAACTCAAGTTATAGAAGAACTCCTGAAATGAAATGGTGGCTTAAATCAAGGCACAGGTATATGGATGGCAATTCCCTGGAAGAATCTGGCTTTGGACTACAGGAAACTACCACCAGCGTGGCTCATGAGAATTATAGCAAGTTGGGCAGGCACTATAGTAATCAAAACCACAATTTAAGCCGGGCGCAGTGGCCCATGCCTATAATCCCAGTGGCTCCAGAGACTGAGGCAGAAGGATTGCAAGTTCAAAGCCAACCTCAGCAACAGCAAGGCGCTATGCAACTCTGTGAGACCCTGTCTCTAAATAAGATACAAAATAGGGCTGGGGAATATGGCTAAGTGGTTGAGTGCCTGAGGTCAATTCCCAGCACATCCCGCCCCCTCAAAAAAAAAAAAAATTTAGACTCTGTAGTATCTATTCTCATGCCTCCATTTTGGATAGAGAAAGGGAAACAAAGCTGGAGAAGGACTCCTAGGGCAGAGGTGTTCTTGTAAGTATCTCTCCTGAATAATCATTACATTTTATTCCTTATTAAATAGACCAGATATGCCCTACTAGTATGTTAAGTCACTAATAAAAAATGCAGAAAGCCCTTCTTTTCCCCTTGGGCTTTTTGCATCCCTGAGCAAATGGCAGAGAAAGGGCTGCATTAACTTAAGCTTCAGTGTTCACACAGTCCTAGGAAAAAAGAGGACTTTGGAACTTTCCTGTTGAACATAGGCTTATGGGTTAAAGTGGAAGACAGTTAAAGTGGGAAACTAGATATGACCCTGCTGAATTCCCAAAATCTGTATTCAGAGATTTGAAGTACTACCTAAAAATGTATTTTGGTAGTTTTAAGGACTTTTCGTGATACTTATATGCTTCTTAACTTTTTGGATCATAAGAATCAAATAAAAGTTACAGATCCTTAGAAAGTTAAAATAACTCCTCCCCCAAAATAAACATTCACATACTCAGGGTTCACTGACAGCCAAGAAGTCAGGTTAAGAATCTCTGCCTTGGGGTTGGGGTTGTGGCTCAGAGGTACAGCGCTTGCCTAACATGTGTGAGTCACTGGATTCAATCCTCAGCACCACGAAAATATAAAATATATTGTGTCCACCTTTAACTAAAAAACAAATATTAAAAAAAAAAGAACCTCTGCCTTGTGTCTTTCCAACTTTATTAAAAGCAGTGGTGGCAAATGCTTAGAGATAAACAAGCAGCTTGATGTGCATGAACAGGAAAAGATCCATAAGAATTCCACTTGATTTAGAAGGGTCACAGGGTATTCATAGTATCAGCTGGAGAGAGTGAAAAGGGTGTTTAAATGACCTACTGAACTTGTAGGTCATTCAACCAATACCCACAAGTTGTAACTGGGTAGTAGAGGTTAGTAGGCTGCTTTTTAGTGCACCAAAATCATTGATTTCATTCAGTCTGTGCTTGGAACAGCATTGTGACTCCAACAAAACTTCTGTTGCTCAATGTGTGTGTGTGTGTACATACATACATGAGATAATGTAACTAAACATCACATCATATGATGAAAAATACTACATTAAAAACTGTTCCTATATGGTGCATGCCTGTAATCCTTGCAGTTTGGGAAGCTGAGGCAGGTGGATTGCAAGTTCAAAGCCAGCTTCAGCAAAAGCGAGGCACTAAGCAACTCAGTGAGTCCCTGCCTCTAAATAAAATACAAAATAGGGCTGGGGATGTGGCTCAGTAGTCGAGTGCCCCGAGTTCAATCCCCAATACCAACAACAACAACAAAAACAAAAAAGCTGTTCCTATAGCTGGGCATCCATGTGTAATCCCAGCAAATTGGGAAACTGAGGCAGGAGAATCACAAATTTCAGACCAGCCTCAGCAATTTAGGCCCTAAGGAACTCAGTGAGACTCTGTCAAAATAAAAAATAAAAGGATGTGGTTCAGTGGTTAAGTGCCCCCTAGGTTCAATTCCCAGTACCAAAACAAACAAACAAAAAAACCCTGTCCTATAAGAAAACTAGGGTCAAGTGCTTTGGAGAGAGATAATACAAGGAGAGTATACATTTAAACACTGATAAGTTAGGAGTAGGCAAGACTGGATATGAGACAAACATCTCAAAAGTATTCTTCACTTAGATTGCTTCCTAAGTGTCTAATTTCATGTCATTTAAAGAATCCAAAACTGAAAGTCATAGATGATCAAAGTGTTTAGTTCTCATCCCAGACTGCATCCTAGAATTACCTGGGAAAATTAAAAACCAGGCCACTCTCTTCCCTACTCTGATTTAATTACTCCGGGTTGGGGGTCAGGCATCCATACATTATAAAATTCTCAGGATGCAGCCAGGTTTGAAGAGTCCCTTGTGTAGTTAATACTAAAAAGGTAATTGGGTACTCCAGTCAGCAGACTTAACACAAAAAAGCCTCAGCACTACACCAAAAGGCCTGTGAAACGAATGTACTTTGAATTATAATAAATAAGATATGTATGCATTATTTTTAACTTCCCAACTTTTTCAGTTACTGCCATCTATCTGTCTAATCATATAAAAGGTCTTCAGATGAATGATAAAGGAGGCTCATAGGATAAAAAAAGATCTCCTGATTTGGGCCCAAACGGGTCTCAGCTTTAGTCTTCTTTCAGTTTAGAAGTCTCAGACTAGTACGCAACACCAGGAACCTCTGAGGACTCGGACTCTCAGTTTCCTGGTTGGTTTTCTGACTACAGCTGGGCACGGTAGTAAGAAGGGGCAGCTTCTTCTAAACCTTTCATTCCCGAAGGCCACTGCTCCCCAGAAGTAAATTCAGGTTCTGTACGTGTGTTGAGGTAGTCATGGGGATGGGGTGGGAGGGAAGGCCTGGGAAGGAAACGTTTCTCCTATCCTCCATTTCACAAGCTCTCTAGAAGGCTCTGAACTGGGTCAGAGAACAAAAAGTTGCTACACTTGGGATGGTGAGCCCCAGGAGGCAAGCGAATCTCAATCCTTTCCTCTCCAAGGGCGTCCCAACCCAACCTTCCCCTCCTCCCTACACACCCCCTTCTCCCCCGTTACAACAGGAGGAATCAAAAAGTCCAGAGAAGAAAGCGGAGAGAATCGGACGACTTCGAACCTACTATTCTCCTCGAGGAGAATGGGGCTCTGAGGGTCGGAGATTGTACACCGGCTAGGAAGGGAAGTCCGAGGGGCTGGGGATCACTCACCGCGGTCCAGCCCGGGCGGCGGCTCCCAGCCTCGCACCACGGGCCGGGTGTGGGTGGGTAAGAGGGGAACAGGGCAGAGAGCCTCCAGATGGGAGTGATGCTGCTGCCCCGTGCGGCCTGCTCCGAGCCCACCCGCGCGGAGGGCCAGGACCTGACTGTCCCCCCCACTACCCCCGCCCCAAGAGCGTCCCTGGCCCTGCCCTCTCTGCTCTAGCGACTTGGAGGCGGGGCGGATGGGTGGGGCGGTGCGAAGGTGGCCAGAGTCCTTATTGGCGGTCGCAGGCGGGCGGGCACCAGCGCAGCGCATCGGGCCGGCCATTGGCTGCGTGGAGCTCAGCTGAAGTCTGCAATTGGCTACGTGAACCACTGAGGGTTAGCTATTGGATGTGTGAGGCAGGGAAGATGTCCCCCGGTACCAGAGTGCTGTGAATGGTACCCTCCACCTATCCGCACCGGACCTTCTGAGTACGAGTCACTTTCCTCCCAGAGACGTCCTTTGCTAAACTGTCTGGACCACCAGCAACTCCCATTTGTTTCCTCCTGCGGGAAGCCCTCTGCAGATCTTAACATCCCCTTCCCCGGGGTACATGTGAGCTGTGCCTTCCTCAGCAGAGAGCCCAACCGCCGCCAGCAGCGTTAGCTGTAGCGAAGTGTGTAAAGCAACAGGGAACTTGTTCTCGAGGTGGATCAGATGTCTTGCCACCCGAAAAAACGAGCCCAAAGACGGGCTGCTTCCTGGATCAAACTGGCACCAGACAGGTGTTCTCAAGGACTAAGTGCTGGAGCGGTCCCTCTTTGGGACCTACCAAACTCTCAGGCTTCCCTCCCTGTCCTGGTAAAGAAGACCTGGACCTCTGCCTCATATTTGGGTGCCTTGGTTTGCACTATTGAGAGAGGGATGACAATAAAATGAGGTTTTCAATGAAGCATTATCCTTTATAGTATGAAATTCTGGGCCAAAATTTATATATTTAGGATTCACCACCTTCTGACTAAAACGTAGAAGCCATAATTTCAGAAATGACTCATCTATTCTCATATAGGTCTTTGAAAAAGCCCCATCTTGCCTATTTAGGTCATTTAATAGAAAACTTCAGACTTTGCCCTATATTCTCAGACCTCACAACTTCCCTCTCCTTACATGTCTCCCAAAACCAACCACAAAACTACTTTTCGTTCTTCATTGTTCCACTCAGTCTTAGAGCTCTTTCAGGGTTGCCAGACATCTTAAACTTACCTGCTTCAGCGCTGAGCTTTATTTTCTATTGCTATCCCCTTCTTTGCCCCTGCCTCCCCAACCCTCCTCATTACATTTGGTAACAATAGCAATTTCTAACAGCCATCCTACTTCTTTCAAACTAATATCTGGCAGAAATATGGGGTAACCAATAGAAAGACATATACACTCATCTTTAAGGCTAGAAACTCTTGATCCCCTGAGGTTTGATTCAGGATTAGTTGTAGAGAGCCGCAGCCAAAGTGGCCACAGCAAACTTCCAGCTGATTGGCTCACTGCAGCCCCAGCAAATTTCCAGCTGATTGGCTCCTCTTCGGTGAAGCTCATTGGGCTACTTCCCTGCCCTTTCAGACCACGGAGCTGCTCATTGGGGGACTCTTTGGCTCCGCCCATTCGACCTAGCCAATCGGCCTTAGGAGCGGGAAGAGTGCCAGTTGAGCTGCTCGGAGAAAGTGCCGGAGGTGTGCTTGCTAAAAATAAAGTTCGGGTGCTTGATAAGTGGCTCCTGAATTGTGCCCAGCCAGACTGCGGCAATTAGTGGTATCTAAAAGACTTTCTCCTAAATCACAATTATTTCCGTGACCCATTAGTTCATATGTAATGAAGGGAAAACATTTTAGGTAGCAGCAATTCTGTTACTAGTGGAGAGGTCATTCTCTCATAATCCAAGCATTTTATTAGACTGGATTAACTGGGAAGAATTCATGCTTGTTTGGCTGAAAAGCTAGGCAGAATTGCCTGTGAGAACTAAGCGCCTGACCTGGAGGGTTTGGTAAGTCATTCTGGGCATTGCAGTTCATGGGCCTGGAGTTGTAAAAGACAGACAACTTTGTCAACTTTCTTTTCTGAAGACACATTCTCAAGAGTCAGGAGTGGCAAGAGAGGGAAGAATTCGTTATAGGAAGTCACTCCTCTGATCCACTTCTGAAGTGCAGACTGAAGCTTCTTTCTTGTGAGTTTCACCTCAATGATTTTTATGCAGGTATTTTTTGTTTTTGTTGTTGTTTTTGTAGAGCAAAAACAACAACATGCATGCTATGCAAGCACTCTTATCACTGAGCAATCTCCTTAGTCCACCCTGTAGATTTAGAAGACTCAGTGGAGAGGGTGGTAAAGTGGACAATAGGAAGAGGTCTAGACTCTAATAATTGAACAGAGGATCCCACCTTTAGCAAGACAATAACCCACCCAGCTTTTCCAGGAATTTGTGCTGAAGAAAGAGGATTCATGTCATCCTCAATATAGAGATGTTAATGTCCATCTTCCAAGGTACTGGAGGAGACCCAACAATCTGTTAATGAGGCTGTTAGTTTTTGTAAAATTTTAAATATATTTAAACTGTAATTGATTAAGATTGATGTCTCAAAGCCAGGTGTTGTAGTACACACCTGTAATCCCAGAGACTGGGAGGCTAAGGCAGGAGAATTGCAAGTTCTAGGCCAGCCTCAGACACTTAGTAAGGCTTTAAGCAACTTAGTGAGATCCTGTCTCAAAACAAAAAATAAAAAGAGCTGGGGATGTGGCTCATCAATGGTTATGCACCACTGGGTTCAATCCCTGGTACCAAAAAATAAAGATTGATGTCTCTTTCCTTTCTGACTTCCCCTGCATCACATTTCCCCTTTTGTTAGTTGGCAGTAGAGAAGCCATGGACATTTGGGGATTGGCTAAGGAAGCTGAGATGGGGATACACTTTGGGTTTAGCTGGTATATAACATGGTTTGTAGTTGCTTTTGTGAATAAATTATCTGCATGTAGGTATAGTACTATAGACTGAACTGTGTACCCACTAAGCTCATGTTAAAGTAGTAACCTCCAGTGCCTCAGAATGTAACTATTTGGACATAAGATCTTTAAAAATAAGTTAAAATGAAGTCTTTAGGGTAGGTTCTAATACAATATGACTGTTGCCCAGAAGAGGAAATTTAGATATAGAAATGTCTAAATGTCTAATAAATTAAGTATGTGATAGACCCAACCTGATTTTCTTTTAAAATTGGGAGCCATCTCACCACAAAGCCATGAAAAGCTAATTTTGGCTTTACTATAAATTACTGCAAATTCTGAACCTGCTTGGAATGCCTGCCTGTGCCTTGAACTCACCCATGCCCGGCTCTCTGGCCAGATAGCAGCCTTCTCTGAAACTTTAGTGACATCTCATAAATATTGGCCTTCCCTGGCCAGATAATGACCCTTTCTGAGGCTCTAATGACCCTCATAAATTCTGATGTTGGGGCCAGCAAAAATGTAAACTACCATTTGTGTTATGCTCATCAGAGTTTTGTTATCTGTAACCCCCCTTTGTGTAACTTGCTAGGCTATAAAGCTGGGCTGCAGGAAAGCTGCAGCTGCTATCTTGTTCCCACGGTTTTGGGTGGGAGAGGCAGCTTGGGTGGAGAGGCAGCCCGGCAGGTTGAAATAATAAGCTTGCTTTAATTTGATTTTAATTAGTCAGTGGTCTTTTCTTGCGTCTTGGTCTAACATATGCACAGAGGAGAGATCACATGAAGATGTATGGAAGAGGGCTATCTTCAAGACAATGCAAGAGGCCTCAGAATAATATCAATACCTTGATGCAACAGATTTCTGTTTAAGCCACTCAGTCTGTGCTGTTTCATTACAGCAGTCCTAGAAAACTAATACATAGCTTCCAAGAATAATGTCATCAATTCAAAGACTCAATTAGTCATTGCAAATTTAAAATACTCCAAAATCTTACATCATATTTCTGAAAGAAATTTCATAGAAATTTTTCCAAGTTTGAAAAAAATCCTGGGCTGGGGATGTGGCTCAAGCGGTAGCGCACTCACCTGGCATGCGTGCAGCCCGGGTTCGATCCTCAGCACCACATACAAAGATGTTGTGTCCACCAAAAACTAAAAAATAAATATTAAAATTCTCTCTCTCTTAAAAAAAAAAAAGAAAGAAAAAAATCCTAAAGGTTTTTGTAATAGTCATTTATAGCTAGGCATGGTGGTTGTAATCTCAACTACAAGGGAGACTGAGGCAGAAAGATTCAAGTTCAAGGTTCCCTGGGCAAGACCCTGTTTTCAAAAATAAAAAAAGATCCCATGATGTAGCTCAATGGTGGAGTGCCCCTGGGTTCAATCCCCAGTGCTGGAAAAAAAAATTTAAAAATAACAAAAACCCCACAAAGTGTGAAGATAAAACTTTTCTAAATTTTCAAGAATTTATAAAATATGATTATGCTAAGAAGACTGAATTTTCTTTTTCCTTTTTTTTCCCTTCCCAGTACTGGGGAGTTACCTAGGGGCTTCTGCATGCTAGGCAAATACTGTACCTCTGAGTTACAGCCCCAATCCTTTTTATTTTACTTATTTTTGTGGTACTAGTGATTAAACCTAGGGACACTCTACTACTAATGTGCTACACTCACCGCTCTTTCCCTTTTTTTTGACAGGGCCTTGCTAAATTGTCCAGGATGACCTCGAATTTTCAATCCTCCTGCCTCAACTTCCCAAGTAGCTGGGATTACAGGCACGTGCCACTGCACCTAGCTTCTTTATAGGAAACTTTATATAATATATAATGATATGAGCTGGGCACATACCTGTAATCCCAGTGGCTTGGGAGGCTGAGGCAGAAGGATTTCAAGCCTTAGCAATTTAGCGAGGCCCTAAGCAACTCAATGAGACCCTGTCTCTAAATAAAATACAAATAAGGGTTGGGGATGTGGTTCAGTGTCCCTGGGTTCATTCCCCAGAATCGGATTAAAAAAAAAAAAAAGATATGAAAAGGCTATTAAAGAGTGTGTATCTCAAAAAAAGAATTATAGAAAAAATTGTATAGGTTTTCCAGGCAGATAATTTTTTGGCAATTTTTAAAAATTCCAATTTCTTGAGATCTTTTCTCATTTAAAAAATACTTGTCTATTTTTTAAATGAGAAATTTGTGATTTTGTATTTACTTTTTCTTAAAAGGGGCTCCAAAAAAATTGTATCCTCAGGCATCCAGAAAACTGAATCTATCCCTGGTACTATCCAAATGGATATGGTGAGTTTCTACACAATTAGGGGAACTGTGCTCCTCCAGCATTCTGTATCTTGACTTCTAGAAAATACTAAAGTAACATGTTACAGGAAGCAAGAGGGCTAACTAGACAGAAGTATGAGTATTAAGAATTTGGGGTATGGGCTGGGGTTGTGGCTCAGTGGTAGAGTGCTCGCCTAGTGCGTGAGAGGCCCTGGGTTCGATCCTCAGCACCACATAAAAATAAATAAATGAAAAACAAAGGTATTGTGTACAACTAAAAGAAATTAAAAAAAAAGAATTTGGGGTAAACTTAGATTAGCAAAGGCTGCATTGAAGTTGTTTGTGAAAGAAAGGGTTCAGACAAATCTATGGCTAAATTAGGAGGTCAGGGCCACAGAGCCCCTAGGCAATAATTTATGGAGAGAACCTCTGAACAGCTCCACACTCACCTCTCCTTGGGTGCCTGCTCCTCATGCTGACTCTTCCCTTCAACATATCAGGTTTCACTTACAATATCCAAGAAAAAGTAGGTGCTCTGCAGTGACATCACAACTTGGCCATTATGATGTAATGAGGAGGCATCTGATTATGCTCCAGCTGGTGCTTCCCTATGAGGAACATTGTTGTCTCATTACCTTGTGAGTAACTGGATTCTTCCATCATTCAGGTGATGTGGGAGTCAATCTTGTTAGAACTTGATCTTTTGTGCAAGTACTTTGATATTTATTTTTATCATTCCATTATGGGTCAGACAGAGGTTCTTGCTTTTCTACATATTCCTCATCCTTTATTTTTGGGTTGCCCTTGATAAGCAAGGGGCTTTAATCTTCCCTTTCAATGTTTAAGGGGCAGAATACAACGCAGATGGTTTCTTAAGGAAGAAGATCCCCAACTCAATAGGAAATAGGGCTTTTCCCAATCTGTTCCCTTTAAACGCACCAGTAGCTGGTGCTGGGTGTCAGCTAGGCCCTGGTGACTTTCTCACCATGCCAAATGGTGGTGGGATTCTGTTGGGATCTTATACCAGGGCTGCCCAACTCCTCCATATCTCCTTCCCATCCAACTTTGATACAGAGCCTATTCTCCAGCAGAATAGGAATAGGAATTTTAAGAAATGAAAGTAATTTGGAGGGGGTTTTCAGGGAGGGAATCTTGCTCTGGATCCCTTGCTATCTCAGTCCAAAACAAAAAATACTTCCAAGTACCTCATATTTTCTTTTCAGATTTCAACTTTATTTCAAATATTAAGTTTTATACCCAGAAGGAAAGGCAACTGCATGAGGAATTTGAAATGAGGAACAATACTACTGGAATGGGTTTGGGGGAGACTTGAGAGGACCTGATGAGAACATTAGTTTGGGGAGGATTTGCATAGCAAATTTTCATTCTTTCCCTGGGTTTGCTATTCAGTAGGTGGACTATTCAGTCTCAAGGTCAGTGCTCTTTGGCAGTATCTCCAAAACAATTCCCAAAGTTGGGGAAACAAGAGCCTTTGTTTTTCTTTATGCTTGGAAGAGGAAGGGAATAGAAACTAGTAGGAAAAAAAATAAAACATTGTTATCTCTTATGAAAAATCTTGGGGCTGTTCCTCAGTCAGGGTGTGTGTGTGTGTATATACGTACACATACGTATTACTTTTTGAGACAGGGTTTCGCTAAGTGGCTTAGGGCCTTCTCAGTTGTTGAGACTGGTTTTGAACTTGTGATCCTCCTGCCTCAGCATTCCGAGCTGCTAGGATGTGTACCACCACAGGTGTGTGCCACCACACCTAACTCAGCCTGGTAATATAATATAGTCAGGAAGCTGAGTTAAGCCCATTTTCAGTCACACAAATTTTCTGATCCTGATGAGGTCAGTTCTCATCTCTGGACCTGTGTGCTCCTCTGTAAAGAAGCCTCAACCTAATGGTTTCTAAGATAAGCCTTTCAGGTCTCTGATGTTATTACCTGTATTAACAAGATCCAAAGGAACTCCAGAGAAACACATGAGTTAGAAGCAAGGGAATGTGGGAATTAACTTTCACAACTCTATGAAAAAAGTTGATCAGATAGGGCTTATTATGTAGAGAAGTGATGAACTACAATCATAAAGAGAAACAAAGGAACAGAAGGAAGGCCATAGGACAAGTGTAGAACAATTTCTGAGTTCTGGATAAGAAAAGGGACACAGTGTTCCTTCCTAGAGGGTTGCTTAAGGATCAACTCCCTGACTTCTCTTGTGGCACTTCCCAGTTCATGGCTATCATTTTATATTCCAAATTGTTCCTGTTCATAAACCATCAGTTTTTAGTCTTCACCATAATTGCTTAATGCATAACATATAATAGGGCCCCTGCCCCATGAAAGATTCAAACTTTCCCATGTCACTAGCTAGGGAAAGTCACTGGTTGCAGCAGTCTAGGGTGTACCCTTCTGTGCTTACCCTTCTGTGTAAGAAATATGGATGGGACTTGATGGAAAGGGCATATGGCCTAATACTGGTAGCTCAACCCAAGGTGAGGAAAAGCCAGGATATAGGGACATATCCTGGAGCAGTAGTACATACCAAAAGGACCAGGCATACAAAAGTCTCTCAAAGTATTTGTTTCTTCCCTATTTTACAAGGCTTGGTGGTACTGTTAGTTGTTTAAGTCCATATTTAAAATATGAAGCACCCATTATGCATGTGTGCAAGGAGGCTCAGCCCAAGCCCCCATCTTGGGGCAACAATGAGGAAAACTGTCAGCTTACTCCCAAGCCCTGCAACAGTTTAATATGGGAAGAACTGGAAGATGCTCATTATTCTTTTTTTTCGTTGTGGTGCTGGGGATTGAACCCAGGGCCTTGGTGCATGTGAGGCAAGCACTCTACCGACTGAATTATATCTCCAGCTCCAGATTCACATGTTATTCTATAAAGCTGAGAACAGAACTATGACTGAGCCACTAATTCTTTCAGAGAAAGAGCTCAAGGGATTAGGATTATCCCTAGTTCCTTTTCTCTGATCAGAGTTGGCATTTTATCCACTTAGTAATACTAGAGATCCCAGTGAGCCCAGGCCCACACCCTAGCTGAGGGCCTTTCTAATGAAAACACCAGGGAATTGACCTTCAAGGCTAGTGGAAAAGGAGAGGTGGTGGCACATTAACAAGTATGGAGGATTGGGGACAGCCAATGTGCAAGAGAATCCCAATGTACAAAAAGGGTGGAGTATGAACAGATTTCCAACTTTTCTAGCACACAGATGGGCCCTTGTTGATCCTGCAGATCTGGCATAGGAGATAGCAGCAAATTCCTGGGAGGAACAGATGAAGCCTAGGGCTCTTAATATCTTCTCCAAGTCAGTTCAGGGAAATGGGAAGATGGGAAAGCAGAGCACAATCAGGGATTATGAGAGATGACATAGCAATATTTTTAATTTTGTCTTTTTTAAAGAATAATATTGCAGGGAACAGGTTGTGGCTCATTGGTAGAGCACTTGCCTAGCATGCATGAGGCACTGGGTTCATCCCCAGTACCACATAAAAATAAAGAAATAAAATAAAGGTATTATGTCCAACTACAACTAAAAAAAAAAAAAAAGAATGCAATATCATGGTTATATACATGGGCTCTGCAGATTTCTTGGGTTCACAATTCATGTACTAGCTGTGTGGTTTTCTTTTTC